TCATCCCTCCCCTCCCCTCCTTTCTCGATGTGATGAAGTGTAATGGCATTTTTTCTTTATTAGAAGTCGTACGAGTTCTTGGCGTCCGCGTCCTTCTTGGCGGGCCTGAAGAGAGCGCGATAGACCACGCCGGCCACCGCGCCGCCGACCAGGGGCGCCGCGAGGTACACCCACACGTTGAGGAAGTTGTTCTGCACCACGGCGGGCCCGAGCGAGCGCGCGGGGTTCATGCTGGATCCGGTGTAGTTGATCTGCGGATGGAACACAGCAGTTAGATTGTCATATATCGTCACCACAAGCTCTATGAATTGCGCAGACCTCCAAATGACGTCGATTTGCGGCTCGAAAACCCAGTAATCTGGCGTTGAATCGACACGTGGACGTGCTACATTTGTGCCCGGGATGCGGTAGTGCTACTTACGAAGGCCAGGTGGCAGGCGGTGATGCTGAAGCCGACGGCCAGCTTGCCGGCGAAGCCCTCCTCGGCGAGGGCCAGCACGGCCTGCACCAGGATGTACGTGATGACCGCCTCGATGACGAAGCCCTGCCACCACGTGACCCCCGAGCTCAGCCCCGTCACGCCCATGCCGCTGCGGTTGCCCTCGGGCGTCGTCACCTGTCAAGTACAGGCAGGGATAAGAAATAAGCTCGCAAGTTTAGGAAACGTTTCGTCAAAAATTTGGAATTTCTCTGATGGCATCGCGACTTTTCCGCTTGAATTGAAGAGTGACAGTGAAGAGTTGCGAGACGTAGTCGTGCGCCGGCCCGCGCGCCCGCGCCGCCGTGGGGGTAGGCAACTCATCAGACAGCGCGCAGAGCGGAGCGGACCCACCACAGGTGGGAATCTCCTCGCACTTGCTGCTATCCCGAACTTGACTTTCTGTTCTGCCCCTGCCTTGATCTCCAGCAGAGGGGGATATGCAGCTCTTGTATTTTCACCGATTTTCACATTGCGGCAGTGTGTTGGTGAAATGCTTCGCCTGGGCTGAGCCAGGCGCGGTTTTATGGGGGGGGGGG